TAGGAAGTTCCTGTGAGGAGGGGTCTCTTTCTGTTGGGATGGGGCTGGGGTTCTGTTGGAACACTTGGCCCTGATGAGTTCAAGGCAGCTGTACCCAGCGTAAGCAATACATCAAGAGCCCAGAAGGTTGCTCTGATCCCTCAAATCCGTTCACTTTTCACCAAATAATCTTATTTTATGTGATCACATGTAGCACCATGGGTGTGTCTATGTCTCGTTTGTATAACTTTGATCAGCACAGAGGTATTTTCTGTTTAAGGACTGAAAAAAAAATATAAGGGCTTTAGTGAGAAGGAAAGAGAGAGAGAAAAAAAAAAAACCCAAAACAAAACAAAACAAAAAACCAGTTTCTTTCCTGGAGGCCCCAGGACAGAACAGATTGCAATCTACCTCTGGCCCAAAGACAGCACTATTACTTGGCAATTTAGTACCATGAAGCCAAACTGCCCCCTATGACTCAATTCTCCTCCTTTGAAGATTGGACACACACTGGTTTTATTTTTCATCTTTTCATGCTCGAAAGTCTTTTGTAACATTTAAAATAGTAACCTGTGGTTTGGGGAGGCCATTAGCCAATTCAGTTCCCTTAACAGTGTCTACCTGCTGAGCCATTGTGCTCTAGTCTTCCAGTGTCCTCTGACCTGGTTTCACTTGGTAGCTATTTGGACAAGGTTTTCTGTTGTATCCCAACTGTTCAAACATTAAACATCTATTCTTGGTCAAATGGAGGAAAAAGCAAAGTTGTTAATATCTTTCTTGTTGTAATTCCTTGATATTCATTGGCCTTGCCCAACACATTGGGCCTTGCCCAATAATAGCTATTTTATTAGTTCCTCTATATATGCAAGTGTTATGGACTAAATTGTTCCCTTGAGTTTATTTGTTGAATTTATAACCCCCAGTACACCTCAGAATGGGATTGTATTTAGAAATAGGGCCTTTATAGAGATAATTAGATTAAATGAGGTCATATGGGTAGGCTATAATCCGGGATGTCTGGTGTTGTCAAGAAGAGGAAAAGATGTTGGGGATGAAGTCACATACAAAAAAGGCTACATAAGGACACAGCAAGACAGCTATCTGCAAGACAAGTAGAGAACTTGTTGACACCTTGATCTTGAACTTCCAGTCTCCAGAACTGAAAAAGATAAATTTCTGTTATTTAAACCACCCAATCTATTGGTATTTTTATTATGGCAAGCTTAGCCAATGAGTGCAGCTAGATAATGTCATAACTGCTTTTTATGAATTATCTCATTTAATTGTCACAGGTACTAAACAAGGCAAGTACTATTTAGTCAGGGATTCCAATACCAATTTTGCCCATGGCAGGAACTCTGCTCATGCCTTACCCTGAGTAGGTCAATACAATATTCTGGTTCATAAATGGGTGGGGTGGGGAGAGGAATTTATGAATAGAGTCAGGCATTTTTCTGACACATGTATTTTATCCAGATTATGTTTACCTGTGTGCACTCCTTACTCATTATATTAGAGGAGCACAAGGCGGCGTCCTTAGAACAAGTTAGAATGAGGTTTGCAATTTCACTGCCAGCCCCTTTGTGAGTCAGAGAAGGCCAGAGCATTATGGAGGAATCATCTGCTGCAGAGAGGAACCTTTGTCCTCATGACAGTTGAAGATCTTCATGAGCAACAAAAATGAATGCTCCCATCAAATCCTCATGCTTTCATATCAATAATAATCTTATACAGCACTTTTACACATGTACGTACTCTCTCAGAAATAATATGAGTTTTGATGGTATAGTTGGGTTTGAATTATGGTTAACTGTTGGCTATGTCATCATCGGTTTTAATTAACCTCTCAGGGAAGAGGTAAAATGGTAATGGTGATGGTAGTTGGGCTGAGAATTAGGATTGAATGTGAGAAATACCTACTATGATGTCTGACACGTAGCAGGTATTCAGTGGTTATTTGCATCAGTGGAACTCAAACTCAAAAATAGTTAAAAGTTTGTATGAGTAACGTTCTCTTCAAATACATCTCAGGTTATAAACAGTGATCTTTAACTACAGCCCTGGTGCGTAGAAGTGGGAAATATCTATTGTTAAAAAGCATTCTCTACTTCTTCATTGAGAATTCCCAGTTTACACTGTAGGACTCCAATTATCTCTGACTAGTTCATTCTTATTGCTTTAGTTAAATGAAGGAAAGATTCACCTGTATGGGAGAGTCATGCATTAAGCTCATGAAAAAATGTAGTTGATAAACTACCTTCTCATGTGTGGCCTGGGGTCAGGGTGGAGCTTTTACAGAAAGAAGAATGGAAAGATGGAGAGTATGCAGGATTTAGAGGAGAATTTACTGGGAACATGTTTTTAAAGAGGAAAATGAGAGGAACTAAACACAATTATCATTTCTTTAATAGAGCCTTATTTAGCATGATTGACTCTCCATCTTTCCACTGTTCTTTCTGTAAAAGCTCCACCCTGACCCCAGGCCACACATGAGAAGGTAGTTTACCAGCTACCTTTTTTCATGAGCTTAATGCATTACTCACTCTCCCATACAGGTGAATCTTTCCTTCTCTCTTTTACTATAAACTCTCTTTATGCTCCAACTTGTTGCACATTCAGCATCACCTACTCTATGAACTGGATCTACCCCTTGAGTCATATATGGCTACCTGAGCCATCTTATTAAAATCAATGTAAAATCAAGTACCACAGGTCCTAGAATTTTATCTGTCAAAACTTAAGTAATTCTCCCTATGATACATGGATGGTTACAAATTAAATCTGGTAACTGTAAATATGGAAGACCAGAGAGAAAGGAAATGGTTTTAGTCTTCTATGACTAGCTAGCTAGATTAACCCTGGCTAGATTAACAGAACACCACTTTTCACTTGTTTTAAGGAAAACATACAGGACTAAAGTGTTCATAAAGTCTCATCTGAAGTGAGTGTTGGGTAAAGAATCTTAAAATTGAAAATACTAAACAGACATCTTAAGCCAAGTGATTAGATTTGAATTGTAAAGAAAAAGCTGAAGGTGAAAGTTATGACTTAGAGGAGTCGGGCATTGACATATCTGGAGCAGCCCTGTCTCTTCATGGACTGGGCCTCCTGGAGAGATAACTACAGGCCTCCCTTTCCAGGCTGTGACACAACGGATCTGACCCAGCAGACACCATCAGAAACAAGCCTTCCTGGGCAATATTTACTCATTCTCTTTCACAGAGCAAACTTCCCAAGACTGCCTGGGTTCCCATACTTATCATATTATCATCATCGAGGGAGTCTAAGTGCCCAACAGTAAAAACAAATAAAATGTGACTTTGTGTTCAATTGCACGTATAGGCTAAAGAGAGTTGAGATCATGATGCGTTGGCCCACTCAGAGGTAGTGTCACCAGGAAAGGATTCTTGCTAGATCTTGACAGTGGGTAAAATTTGAAGAAAGATGGGAGAGAGCACACTTATGTTTTTGGACTTTATTTTTAACTGAGGACTCCCACATGAAAATTCCTGGAACTAACTGAGCACATGGTAAGAGTTGGAGTTAGACCCCATGTCCAGGTGGATGTGTGGAAATTCATCCAGCTGACGGGAGAGTAGGAATTTCACATATCTTCAGTAGAACCAAAACACGCTACATATTTCATAGGGCAGAGGCCTTATTATGTAATAATGATCCCTTGCACACCTTCTCCTCCAATTAAAAGTGTACAGATTGAAGTCATTGTGCACTTAAAGGTTAAGTCTTCCTACAACCCAGGTAGACTTCACCTTGAAGTCTGACTTGTATGCTCCTCACTGTGTTAATACTTCTGAAATGATTTGGCTTTTGGCATTTAGTTTTGAACAGTTACAGATGCTTGTGGTATATATCATATTTTGCTTTGTTTGTACATATCTCTTGTCTAATGCATCTGCTGTGGGCTGATGGACAGGCCACAGAAGTAATAGGGGTTAGGCGTGTTTATGCTTTCATACTTTCATTAACCTTTCTCTCTTATGGTTTGAATCTGAAATCTTTTCCAAAGGCCCATGTATTAAAGGCTTGGTGGTCAGCCTATAGCACTATCGAGAGGTGGTGGAGGCCTAGTAGAAGGAAGTGAGGCCTCCTTTAGGAGGTTGGGCCTGGAGGAAGGAAGCTGGGTAATTGAGGGAGTATTCTTGAAATGGATGTTGGGATCGCAATCCCTTCCTCTCTCTTTGCTTCCTGGCCACCAACAAGTAAGCAACTGTATTCTACCATGTGCAATTAGTCATGATGTTCTGCCTCACCACAGGCTCCAAAGCAACTATGGACTAAAATCTCTGAAATTGTGAGCCAAAATAAATCTTCCCTCTTTTAAGTTGATTGTCTCAGGTATTTAGTCACAGTGGCAAAAAGTTGACTAACAGTTTTTTCTGTAACCGGTTTATTGGGATCAAGCTGAGAATGCACTGGTACAGAGTTATTCTGAAAGTTCCATGGGAATTTGCCTGTCAGAAATTAAATTTTCTACAGGTTTTATCTTTCCACCTTACCAATGTGACTCTTGGAGAATTATATTAACCTGAGGAGCCCATGTATGAGCCAGTGACTCATACTGTTATTGGATCTCTGGGTCTTTATCTGAAGAGTGAAAAGATTAGAAAAGATAATTTTGAGATTTTTCTAGCTCTAAAATTTGATAATTTGATAATTCCTCAGTAGTAAGAGTCAGATTTTCTTTTTTTTAAAGATGAGAGCAGTTAGTTTGTCCACTTATACCTATTTTCCTACATTTATCTGCCTCAAGCTCAGTGCCACCAGCATTTTTCCAGATGGGAACATGCTAGGCTAGTATAAACCCAGTCAAAGATCCTTCAAGAACTAGGCCTGACACCAGCCCCTTCTCACAGGATCCTGTCATTAACCCCCCCACACCCCACTCACTCCACCAACATTGAGAGAAGGCCTGTTATGTGCGAGGTACTAGTCTTGAGAATCTGTTTCATGGCTTTTAAATCCATCTTCTCTTTCTTTGACAGATCAGGCAGACAACAGCATAGGAAATGTATATTTAATAATCTTTCTCTTGAGTGGTCAGCGCTCTAAAATGAGGTTTTCTATAACAAAATGTAACACAGACATGGTGGTCCAAAGGGCCATGAAAAGTGTGGGGAGGGGGCTGGAAACAAACATTCTTTTTCATCAAGATTTTGTTCCTCAAAGCCTCAAAAGGTTATTTCCCTGCTTTCTTTTAGAAGTCTCTGTGTGGGCTGGCATAGAGCTCAGTGGTAGAACACTTACCTAGCTCACTCCAGGCCCCGTCAGAACCCTAAAAAAAGAAAAAAGATGAAACAAAAACAAAACCAAAAAACCCTCTGAAGTCTCCATGTGTTCAAGAAAGGTTCATATTTGTTGCCTTAATTTGTATTTTGGCTAAGCAGAGTCCTGAGACCTAAAATCCAGAGTGAAAGAACTTGAGATGGAATTTAGGTTTCGTACAGAGCTTAGTTCATAGGGTAGAATAAAGGGAAAGGAATTTAGAAGCTCAATGAGCTAAAGATAATCCCATTAGGAATTTCCCACATGCCTTGTCAACTCTGTTCACTGAAAGATGTTATTCTGGTTGCCCAACACAGAGATCTGGCTCTCTGAGCTGAAGCCGTAGCCAAAGGAGCAGTAGCCAAAGGGGCAGATGCCAATGCCTGTTTTTAAGAAGCAAATAGATTTGTTTGCTCTCCTCTTTCCTAGTTTCCTTTCTACTCTAAATCAGGGTTCCATGACTTTGGCACAATTGACATTTGGGACAGAGAATTCCCTGTTGTGGGGAAATGTCCTGTACATTGTAGGATATCAAGCAGCATCCCTGGGCTCCATTCACTAGGTGACAGTGGCACCTTGCACTGCCTTACTTGAGTGGTGACAGCCACAGTTGACTCCAGACATTGCCAAATGTCCCTGAGAGATAAGAGGGAGTAAAATCACTCCAATTGAGTCCCAGTGCTTTGGATGCTGTTGAAAGCTGAGGTATAGAAAGAAAGTAGAACCCTCAAACCTTGTAATGACACAACGTCACATAGTAAGGTGAGAGATCCTTCCCTGGGCCATTCACAGGTCAATGCCAATCTGAGAAATAAAATGCCATTTGTTCAAAAAAGAAGGTGCTAAGATTATCTAGAAAACCAGTGTCACCCAACTTCTTTGTTTACACCAAAATTATAATTTCCCACATCTTTGGCATTTGTCAAGTGGGAGAAGCAGCCAAGGCACTTTTGAAAGCATTGTAATGAGAAGCGAATCATTTGACCCTTCATGAAAATGCAGTCACCTCTGAGTTGTGAAGCTGATTTGCAGCTTCTTAGAGCATATACCACAGCTCTGTGCGCAGAATATGAGATATGAATACATGGTGATTGAAACTTTCCAGGAACTTCTTCAAAGCCACATTACAGCACATATAACTAAGGATTCAGTGAGATGCAATTATCCCATCCTCTCACTCCCCAGGAGTTAACGGGGAAGGGGAGGTCCCTGAGTCATGGGAATATACTTGTCTCCACATGCATTCTATTGAGCAGTCTGAACATGCTTCTCCAGTCTGGATGAATGATTTCCCCAACTTTTAACATGTGTCTTGTTCATATTGGAGTCTTCTGTGGGTTGCTTTTTTCTTCTTTTTATTTCTTGTTCTTGTTTGTTCACTCCAGACTTCTAGCCATGAATTCATTTCCCCCTAGAAATATAAAACTAGGTCATATCTTATATAAAAAAAATAGTTCTGTAGATTCCTGGGATTCTGAAAATAACAGCAATAAGATACCATTACAGCCTCTCAGCAAACATTTATTGAGAACTGAAAGTCTCCCTGCCACTGGGTGAATGTATCTCCTGTTTAGAAATGGGCTTATTTTTCTGTGTTTTAATGTGGTTCTGTCATGGCCATGTGATCTCATGAGTTGCCGAGGGAAGGTGGATGGTTTAAATCTTGTCTTAAAGGGGATTCATTTCAGTGACAGTCTCAGAGAAGAGCCAGGTCCTCAGAGCAAACAGAAACTGAGAGATGAGGTGTGGGTAGGTTCCATGGTGGAGGAGCCTGGGAAAATAGCTTCTGCCTCATTCCCAGTCTGAGAGTGTGTATAACTACATGAACTGAACAGTTATACCATGTGTCTTAAATAACGATCTATCCCACTTTTAAAAATCCATTTGATTCAAGGTTATTCCTCTATAGTTCTTGGGAGAAAGAGCTGTCGCCATAGCTTGCTGGGTAACAGTGTATAGCCCTTACACTGTGTGTGAACATGATCTTTTACATACTTTCAACTAAAAAGGCTGCAAATTATTGCTCAAAGGGAATACGAGGTAAAGACGAATAAGTTGTACTTTATAGGTCATATTATCTAGTTGTAGGTTATTAGAAACTCATTTACAGTGTTGTAGGGGTTGAAGGAAAGAAGATTGGAATCCTTCTTCTAGTAGTGAGATCCCCTAGGGATAGTTTCCTTGCGGGAATCTTCCTCTGCTTGACAACCATGTAGGATTGGGAACTGACAGGTTTTCTTACAAAGAATCTACTTTGTGCACTGTACTGTAGTAAGAGTTTGGAGAACAAGATGAAAAGAAGCAGAAAAGCAGATCTTTGTGTATCTTAAGGTCTTAACAATCTAGGCAAGGAATATATGTGCTGTAAAAAGAGTGAGATATAAATCATACATACATGCCAAGGGCTCTCAGGAAAGGGGGCTTAAACTAGAAAGCACTTTCCTGAAATGGATAAAGGAATTCATGGATATGGCTTCCTGCAGAGTAGATTTCCAGAAAAGGGCAGAATGAGAGAGCAAGACTAGAGAATAGTTGAGAGGAGGAAGTTCAGGGAGAGAAACTTAGAGGGTCATGACTGTCAGCTGAGGACTTGAACTTTGATACAACAGTGCCCAGAGAATCATTCTGGGCTCCAGAGCAAAGAAACTTTGTGATTAAATTAATGTTCAAATACTTTTGTTCTGCTACCTTGCTTCCTACCGGGAGAGATGATAGAACAAGTACAAAGTTTCAGAACCAGCCTTCATCAGAAGGCTGGATTAGGGACCATCTGAGAGATAACACAGGGGAAAATGGCCCAGTGGGTGGCAACACATGGTCATGCAAGACAGAGGGGAGGCAAAGAGCTCTAATACTGAGTCAGGAGGCCTGGTAGGGATGTCACTCAGGAAGGGGGAGTATTGACTAAAACCTCATGAGTTTGGTTTTATACAAATTTCATAGGCAGTAGAACATTTAGAAGGAAATGTCCTAACAATAATTGGAGCCAGAGATCTGAATTGAGAATGAGAAATCTTGGCAGAAGGGCTTGCTGGTGAGTCATCTGCCAACCATCCCATCACCAGGGCCTGGGGTGGAGGGGTGGTAAAGAGGCCACTAAGGTAGGTGCATGTCATTATGCTTTGCAAATGACAATAACATCCAGAGGAATTAATCAGGGCTCAACATCTCTTCCTCCTCAATAAGATATTTTTGTCTTCACAGATGACTCAGTCGATGAAAAGGTGCTTGAATTTGTACAAATATTTGAATTGTGCAGAGTTGGTTTTTCTACAAGTCTGTCAATGATATCTCTGCTCTCTTGTAAGCCAGCAAATGATTGCCTTTCACCGAAGTAGTAGAAAGAAATAGCATCATGGGCTGACACCACTGAGTGTTACTCTCTGTGGCTGCTGCTGTAGGCTGCTTGACCCTTGATAGGAACACAGGCACACACACGACCAAACTCCCACACCACTGGGGGTTTATCTCACCTGTTGTGCCAATAACTTTGCATGTTTTTGTGTGGCCAAGGCATATTATTTTAGCATCAGGTAAGGGGAGAGTGGCAGGAGTACCCAGATGATGGCAAAGAAAGAGGAGACACAAGAGGAAGCCTTTGAGTTCAGCAGCTGTAGGTGGCTCCGCCTCTTGATCTCAGAGTCTGTAAAGGGAGAGAAAAAAGTTCAGGGTCATCTAAGAGAAGCTGAATGTGTTCTTCACGTGATTGCTAGCAAAGAAAAGAACCTGTAGACCTGTTCCTAGCACAAGCAATTTTGTACCTCTTCCCCTACCTTGTTGCAACTGGCTTAGAAGCAGAGCGTTCCCTTTCTTCAAAAGAAATCCCATTCCATACTCACTCCAGGGAACACTCGCCAAATGAAAAACTATACCAATAAAGGAACTGTTATTGGTCACCACGTAAAGAACAGGCTAAGTGAACAGCCACAGCCAGTCCTTGGTTTTGGACTCATTCTTTGCCCAGGCGTTGACCTTTACAGGTCCTGTGTCATCAGCTTTCATCACACCTCTGAGAAGGGACAAGGAATCATGGTTTTCATTTTGAAGGAGAAAAAGGTGGAAGTGAAGAAATAAAATTACTCTTCTTTTGCTCTCCAATCTCATTTAGTTCGTTTCAGTTCTGTCGCTTACTTGGCTGTGTGCTTTAGACAAGTTACTCGATAGACATTTGCTCCGATTTCTTCCTCTATAAAATAGGGTTAAAATCATAGTTAACCGACTTTATAGGGTTCTGCTGAGGACTAATGAGGGTTAAGTACATATTAAGTACTTAGAATAGTGCCTGCACATAGTAACCACTCCGTAAGTATCAGCTACAGACACAGCAATAGTAGCAGTCCCCCGGAACTCTAATAATCTTTTCCTTCCATGTTCATTAAGTATGAAGCTCTTTTCTTAGTTAACTCTGTCCTGAGTTCCACATCTGGATTTACAGTTGCTACTAAATATGTCAGTTAAAATATAATTGTTCAGTAAATATTTTTGAGCGCCTACTGTTGGGAATCCAAACAGTCCAATAAATTACACCCTCTTGCCAGCCTTGCTCAAAAGCAATTACAGAGAAGGACAAAAAGATGAAGGCAACTGAAAGACCAAAATATCACCTTTATTGCCCAAATTCTGAAAATAAAAAAGGGTGTTTTGTAGGCAAGCAAGTGGGCCATAGCCCAGACTCCTCCCTAGCGGTAGATAAAATCAGACCGGGGCCAGCTTCCTTCTGCCAGGGCAGATTCTACCCCTGAAAAACCAATGGCTTGGAGCAACAGAAGAGAATATATACTTCCCGAGAGTTAGCCACAGAGAAAGGAGAGAAGAAGGCGCTAAGCTACAAACGTCCAGTGTCTCCTTCTGTACTCATCAATCAGATAAAATGTTTCCCCCTTCTCTGGGAAGGAGTGAAAGAGGGAGGAAGAAAGAGGCTAAAAAGATTACGTATGTTAAATATCATCTCTTACATACATAGGATCCCTTTTGATAGAAGGAAATACGTGGAGTAGGGATGTAGTTTCTCCCCAAACCCACCACGTGCTGGGTGATGTGCCAAACATGGAACATCTCTTCCTGTATACACCATGGACATTCTTTTATTTTTCTTTTGCTGGTAGCCTTACCAACTTCCTAAACAGCCTGGGTAGAAATGTAAAATCCATTTTGATTTATTTCTCTTGACCTTCACATTTGCATCACTAAGGCCGGTAGATGGCTTTCTTCAAGTATCTTGATTCTTCTTTCTTTTCTTTCCCAGTTATTATATATATATAACTGCTCCAGTTAATATGCTCATAATTTACTCCCCTGGACCATTGCCATAGGCTCCTGACTTCAAGACTTATTATTTTACCCACACCATTTTTCTTCTCCTTCCAGAACCCAACTTGAACTTTGCCTTATTTACTGACCCACTCCAGTAATAATTAACAATTCTTTCCTGCAGGTTCCCTATCTATACTGTGATAAACTTTTCTTATTATATTTGTGCTATTAATCTCCGTGTCTCATGGTGCTTAAAAAATGCTGTGAACGTAACACCTGGCACATAATATATACTTCTTGGATGAATGACTGAAATTACCAGTATAGTTAGAGAATAAGAAATTTACATCCTATGACCTTCCTCAGTGGCTTCAAAGCATGTATGGAGTTCCTACACTGTGAATAACAAGAAGGAATTCTGTTTATTTTTTTAATTTTGAGCTATCAAAAGTTGTATTTCTTGCCAGGCATGGTAGTGCAGGAGGCTGAGGCAGGAGGATTGCAAGTTTGAGGCCAGCCTCAGCAACTTAAAGAGGCCCTAAGCAACTTAGTGAGTCCCTGTTTCAAAATAAGAAATAAAAGGGCTGGGGGCGTAGCTCAGGGGAAAAGCGTCCCTGAGTTCAACCCCTAGTACCATAAAACAAAAGAAAAAAGTACAAACGCAAGTTTTATTTCTTCAAGTACCTTTTGATTCCTCTTTCTTTCCCATTTCTATTGCTCCAGTTAACCATTGCCATAGGCTCCTGACTTGAAGGCTATTATTCTACCCAAACCAATTTTCTTTTCCTTCAATAACCCAACTTGTTCTAGTACTGACACTTGGAAGTTCCGATGTATCTGATAAACATATAAGGAAAAGTGGACCTGTTCACTGAATCCAAGGTATTCTCAATGTCTAGGTTGTGTGTAGTCATTGCTTTTTCTGCCAAAAGGCATTAATTATGCACTGTGGAGTTGGTTTTTGTTTGTTTTGTTTGTTTGTTTTTTATTTTTAACTGAAATTTTGAACTGAATTTTGTAAATAGTCAGTGTTCATTTCCCCTTCTCTTCTGGCCAGGCCTTCCATCAGATCCTGCACACTGGTCTAGAGATGTCAGCTTACCCACATCAACCCAGTCAGTCCTTTTGGGGAATGTAGAATGGCACTGATAGACCGAGGTTCGGTCTGTTTATTCACCTGATTGACCGAGACTTTTTGATTTTAGAGCTTTTGGTAACCACATTTTCCCACATAGAAACTAAAAGAAGGTGGAGCAAAGAGAGAATCACATAGAAAAGAGAGACGAGGAATCCCAATACACTTCAGTTCCCGGTTTCAGCTGTTTCTGAAGCAAACTGCCCTTTTTAACTTGGGTTCCGTGAGACAACCCAGGACTCTGAATGAATCCTCCTTTTTAGCTTAGACTTAATTTATTTGAGTCATTCTTGGTTAAAGGTAGCTAAGAGATCTAACCAGGACAGTCCCCAATTTTTTTCAAAATAGCTCTCTCCCCCCCACATATATTTTCATTAGATAATTTTAAAATGTAGTAAAAAAAATCACATTTACCATCTTAGCTATTTTCGAATGTATAGTTCAGTTCTTTGAAGTATATGCACATTGTTGTAAAACAGATCTCTCGAGCTTTTAAATCTTGCAAATCTGAAACTCTATATCATTAGACATCAGCTTGTTCCCTACCTCCTCCATCCCACCTGTGGTGGTTTTTGTGAGTTTATCTACTTTAGAAGACTCATATAAATAGAATCATATAATATTTGCCTCTTTTTTTGGTAGCTAAACTTCTTTATCTTAGCATAGTTTCCTGAAAGCTCATCCATGTATACCATGTGAAAGGATTTCTTTCTTTCTTTTTTTTTTTTTTTTTGTATTGGGGATTGAACCAAATGCCTCATTCTACCACTGAGCTACAGTCCCAGCCCTTTTCATTTTTGTTTTAATACAGGATCTCATTAAGTTGCCCAGCTTGGCCTTTTGTGATCCTCCCAAGTTGCTGGGATGACAGGTGTGTGCCACCATACCCAGCTGATTTTCTTTTTTTCAAGGCTGCATACTATTCCATTGTATGTATACACCATAATTTTTCTTTAATCCATTCATCCATCAATGACATTTTGTGTTGCTTCTACCTCTTGATTATTGTGAATGATGCTATTATGAACATGTGTAAGCAAATATCTCTATGAGAGACTTTGAATTCTTTGGGATGTATACCCAGAAGTTGGATTACTATATCATAGATTCCATATGGTTTTTTATAATGGTTGCACAATTTTACAATCTTGCCAACAGTGCATGAGAGTTCCAATTTCTCAATATCCTCACCAACCCTTGTCATTTTCTGGGACTCTTACGTGTATGATAGTAGCTATCCTAATGGGTATGAGGTGATATCTTATTATGGCTTTAGTTTGCATTTCTCTGATGATTAGTGATTTTAAATATCTTCTTCATGTGCTTTTGGGGCATTTGAGTATCAAATTTTGAAAAAAAAAAGTCTATTCAAATCCCTTGCTCATTTTAAAATTTGGCTATTTGATTTTTTTGTTGTTGAGTAGTAGGAGTTCTTTACATATTTTGGATATTAACACCTTATTGGATACATGATTTGCAAATATTTTTACCCATCCCATAGATTTCTTTTTCATAAATATAATTTTAAATAAAAATATAAGCTGTTATGAATGTGATTTAGTCAGTTAAATTCAGCAAACATTTACAGAGCACTTAAAATGAGCAAGATATTTTCTGCCTAGTTCCAGGCTTGATATAGATAGCAATTCTCCTGACAAACTCCTTCCTCTACAGTTTGAATTCAATTTAGCTCCAGGAGCGATTTCTGAAACATCATAATTTAGTCTGTGCATTTTCTTGACACTAGCTCAACCCTAGGTTTTGTATGCATTAAAGTACTACAGGAAGTGAGGATGTGGGTCTAGGGTCCTGGGAGCCCAGCTCAGTCTAGGGATTTCAGATTAATTCTGGACTAATATTAGTGAAATCATGAGTCAGTCCCATGGGGGATAAATAAAATGGAGTCAGAGTCTAGACCTTAAGTCTTTAGATTCTCAAAGGCAGATTGCAACCAAACCAGTTTGGGGGAACTTAGAGTGTAGTTATCAACCAGATATATCAAAGATGTCAAATAATCACCACTTCCCCAAAACCATATCAAAGTAGTTCTACTAAGTTAGACAGAGCCTCAGAATTCTAAACACTGGTCTCCAGAAAACCAGTCCATGAGAATGCATACAAGATGAAACCCAATTGTCATCTTTAACTATAGGCTACAAACATTGGGCTGTGTTAGGCTTTCTATAACATAAGGCAATCCAACCTGGAATCTCGCGACCAAGGTCTCAGAGTCGAGAAAGACTCTGAGATTTTTCGGACCCTATCATATAACATCTGTTAAATAAATGGAATTTTAATGTAGACATTATTTTCCTCACAATAAACTCATGCATAAAGCATGGAGAGGGCTGGGGATGGCGCTCAGGGTAGAACACTTGTCTAGCTTGTACGAGGCCCTACGTTTGAGCCCCAGCGTCACAGAGGGAAGAAGCATGGAATCAACCCACCTGTCACTTTGATATCCCCTGTGGCTTTGGCAATGTTGTTTTCAATCATACAGGAGTACGTGTTGTTGATGTTGACGTTGTAGAGCACCGAGACCACCTTCATGGTCACATTTTCAGAGTTCAGCTCAAAGCTAGTGTTGGAGACTTCTGAGAAGTTGGCTCCCTGATTAACTTGGGATGCCCAGACCACCGTGGGCTGGGGAAACCATCGGGGAGCCTCACAACGCAAGTTCTCCGAACTGGCATTATATTCCACGTTCATCTCTGGCATGCTGAAGGCTGCAGAGTCAGAGGTTAAAAAGCATAAACGTCAAAGTCAGACAGATGAGACAGACTTGAATTGCTAGGTCTCCAAAAGCACAAAAGGTTATTACTATCATTGTAGTGCCTCAGTACTTCCCCAGGGCAATGTCTGTTCATGGCCCATTTTACTGTAGATGCAAATGATGGTGTGCTCATAGTGGTGCTATGCATGACATCCATTTGGCTAATCTCACAAACCCCCAGGACCTAAGTTTTCAATATATTATTGTTACATCAGATGATGTCCTCTAGTAAGATGAGCTCCAATGATTACAGAAAAGCTTATTTCTTAGGACAATTGGACATTTTTTTTTTTCAGGAATCTTTGGAATCCAGCCTTCTGGATTTTATGTATTGTTCTTCATGGAGGATAAAGTTAGGTCGGTGGCGGGGAGTGGAAAGAGAGAAAGAACAGAAACAAACAGTATTCACCTGTCACCCACAGACGTTCCATTCATGACCTTTGTCATCATGAGGACTTGGAGTCTGCTTGGGTTAGAGATTGTATAGCCCTGGTATCCAGGAATAGAAATGGGCATTTTTTTTTCTAAAATACTTTTCCTCACTTAAGAAGTCACTGCATTTTGAAATTAAGACTAGTTCCTCTTTATGTAGGCAGAAAGACACTTGTGTTAGGTCCTGGACTTTTTAATTATGCCCAAATAGCAAGACACAATTTACTATTTTATTTAGCATTTTCTTTTGACCAGGAATAGACTAGTGCTGAGTAAGCATGAAAAGAAAAGTCTTTATTTTGCCCTCTCTGAGCTTGTTATCTAGCAGAGGAAACAAGACTCATGTTCTTGGAGCAGGTAGGGAACAGGTCCTGGGGGATGACATGGGATTTGAAGTGTACACAACAGTGAGCCACCATTTACTGCTAGTGCTTTATCCCAGCTCTTATTTAATTTGATTGTCAGAAGAATCCTGTGGATATCTACTATTACCCATATGTAAAAATAAACTTTTAATTTTGAAATAATTTTATATTTATACAAGAGGAGCAAAGATGGTCCAAAGAGAGATCCTGTATATTCCTCTCCCAGTTTCCTCCATGTTTATTTAATCATCTTAAGTAAACATTGCACATTTGTCAAAAATGAGAAGCCATCACCGATACATTGGTATTAGCTAAAACTAGACTTTAGTCTATCTATCTAAGCCCCTGGTATATAAATTCAGAAAACATTTATTAAACTGGGTAGGCAAAGAAGGGTGATTTCATTGGGAAGGTACTATTGAGTGTATAGGAAAATTTGTTTTGCTTATTTCCCTTGAACTTCTGCAAAAGTTCCACTATCTCTAGAAGGACTCATTTCAGATGTGGGCTTGGGCATAATCAGCATAGTAACATCCCCAACAAGATTGTAGACTTCTCTTATTAGGAATAGTGAAGGTCACTATAAAGAGACTGTATTTATTCCGGTAAAATATCTTAGGAAATACACCTGGAAATTCAGAAATGGAAAGAGCCAAGAACAAAAGATTCCAAGTCCTCATATGATAGTGGGCTACTTTTGGAGCTGATGTGGATCTTGACAAGGTGGCTACTAAGAGAGCTCAGAGGGATTTGTCTGATATTGGTCATTCGTGAGGACAACATGGTATTTCATCAGCAATTCATGCTCTTCAGCTCAAATATCTCTTGGTACTTTCTTTCCCTCTCTACCAAAGTCACTCACCTCCAGTTTTATACTCCAGGTTAGCATTCCCTTTGCCTTTGGTAGTGGTGATGTGACACTTGTAGGTGCCAGCATCTGTGAGTTGCACTTTTTTCAGCCTCAAGGAAGCATTGCCAACGATCACTTGATCAGCAAACACTGCTGTCCGGCCTCTGAACATTTTATCCTGGTCTGAAGGATTATCCTTGCCTTCTTTGAACTCATGGACCAAACCCACGACACCTTCCTTCTGCCACTGTATCACAATACCATTCAATTTGATATCAGGTTCAAAAGTGCAGCTCAGGATTCCATCTTCTCCAATGTTCCCAGCGGAGGTGAAGGTAGTGACTGTGATAGAGTGTTTCCCTGCAACCCAGGAGGCAAAGATCAATACCAAGGGAAGCCTTGGAACTTCTACAGCCAAACCCTTTATTACTAAAAGCCAAGCAGAGATTTCTGTGATAAATTAAAAATATAGAACTGGAAAGGCATTTTTTAAAAAGGGAGATGAGAACGTAAAGAACAGGAAGACAATAATTTTAATATCTACACCAGATCTGCCATACCCAATAGCTTTTGTAATACCAATCAACCCATTGAGAGGCGGTAAGAGGAAAATCCATTGGATTTGGGGTTTGAAGATTCTCATTCAAGTCTCATTACCATTTGAACATCAAGTCTGGCTCTGATACTTAATAATAAGTCATGTAGGCCCTCTGATTCTCAGAAAAATGGAGGTAATTATATCTTTCTCACCTACCTTAAGGAGTTCTTATGAGGATCAAATAAAATGGATGTGAACTTGATTTGCAAACCATAACTGTACATATAAGGTATTATTATTTTTAGTCAACCAGAAGCGACACAAAGTGAAATCTCATATTAGCTAAATGTGTCTAGTAAGACTACATTCTGAAGTGCTGGTACTTATATCCATTTGAATGGTGAAGAAACTAAAGCATAGAGAAGATATCCAACTAGGTTGTGATTATAGTGTTAGCTATGGATGGCATAATGAGTTAACTTAATTCAGTTGATTTTTGGTAAAGATAGAAGCTACCCGCTCCTCTAGGAATATACCAGCAGTAGAAATACTAATTGTAGTGCCAGCTATGTGTCATTGCCTCTTCACCAGTTGCCCAGCCTGGGAAAAGAGCAATCAGCCCTCCTTTGTGGACTGGAGGCAGTTGAGTAAGGACACCTACAGATGTGATTTAATTTAACTGAATCTTCTTAGAGACTCCTTCTGTGGTTTGGATTCAAAGCTTGGACTTGAAATTGTCTGACTCTAGGCCTTTGTAAAATAGACAGTGATAATGGGTGTGAGAACTAGAAAAGCTAAACTAGATAGACTTGCATAAGAAGAACAGAACTACTGATAGAAAAGTTATAGTTAGTAAAAGGGAGAAAAAAATTATAGCTAGCAAAATGTTCATAGGCAAGGCTGGAAGAATGTTCTGGAGGCTTGAGCATGGGAGAAAGAGATTTTGGGAACAGCTGCCATGCATGACCATTCATGTGACAGATTTGGGAAAGAATCATGAAAGCCAACAATATGAAGACTTTGCTGAGTAGTATGAATGCAACACACATCCGTCTCTTGCCTTAGCATTTGCTTGAACACTGCTTTTAAAAGCTTCAGTTTGCTTTTTAATTATTCCTATTTAACAGACTGAAAAGGCATCCCAGGTCGCCATGGGTCATACTATCCCTATGCACCTTCACACCCTGCACCTCTGGCACCTACAACTCAAAGTTCCTTCTTCTCCCTTGTCACTGGTTATCCATATTCTGCTTATAGTCAGACCTGTTCAGATGGCAGCCCTTTCGTAATACCTTCTTTTAGTCCGTGAAGATAAAATTTGTAACTACTTCTCATTACTCTCTCTTAACACTCATGTTTATCTTTATCATGACAGCTGTCTTCTTTACCATGTCTCTGGCCTATCTCTTGTATTAATTTATAAGTTTTCTCAAGGGCAAAAGCTATCTCAGTCTTATCTATAGGTCCTATAGTGCCTGGTGCTATGTTTCTATAGAGAAAAACAATATTTGCTGAGGGTATGAATACATGAATAAATGAATGGGAATAAGTTGAAATCAAAGCACTATTTGAGAAAATGTATCCACTGCAAGAGTAAAGAACATTTGGCAGAATTATCACATTTAAATTCTGGGGAAATGTGAATCAGTGTAAAAGAAGGCAATAAAAATACATAGAGATTCTCAAAATCATGGAGCACGTGTAACTATGTTAGAGCAGGAGTAAATTGGATTATAGTTTATAAAGCGCCATTAAAGTGGAATTGAAAAATTACTTTTCAGAAAAAAAAATACATGATTAGCACAGTTTATGAAGAAAATGAAATGATAATGACATATCTTAGTTTGGTAATTGTGTTGCTGAATTAATTTTAATGTGTTGGCCTTGAGCCCACAGGTAGGGAATCCATTGAAATATCTCCTAGAGAAATTAATGATTAAAAGTAGGCAGCTGTGGAGTGCCCCCAGAGACCTGCTGCAAGTTCTATCATTTAAGGTTGCATTAATGATGTGGCAGATGGAATGAGTGTAATGTCGATTAAATCTCTCCCCCATATCAAATAAAGAGTTGGAATAAAAGCCAGTAAGAACTTTAAGAAACCTCGAGGACCTAGCCACTGCTTTGGATTCAGAAAGCAATCAATAAAAACTTTCTTGTTAAACGAATAAATGATGGTTAAAAATGAAAAAAAAAAAATGAAATTCAATATGCAAGCAACATGTGTATATTCTTACAAAAAAGAAGTCTGTATTCAGACTTGAAAACAAAAATTAGCTCAAGGAGCTTTATGCAGTTTGGCCTGATAAGTTTCTGCAGGCCCATGGGCCACCAGAGGCTCTTATGTGATTTGGTTCGCCAAAGGACAAAAGGGTCCTATGGAGATGGGCTATAGGTTGCTAAGTATTGATATAAAATTCCATTAAATGAGCATAGATTTAAAGCATATCATTTTCCTCTAAAATTGCATCAAAACTCTTTAAGAAGTGGAAGGCAGCTAACTGTTAAAAATGAATTATCCCGCTCATGAAGGGTAATTATTCTGCTCTAGTCTGTGTGAAGAAAGGGTGGGAGCCATTAAAGTGGAGCAAGCTGACATCTGACCATTTTGGTTTTCACAGGAGTTCAGTACTATTCAATTGATCCTTCACTGGTAACAGGAATATCTTGGAAAGTAGGAGTACAGGTAACCCAGAATTCCTGTAAAGAAGCAATGATTCTGGGGTACCCTGCAACACAGGATAAAACCTGGGAAATAAACTGTCCTTTAACATGGCTCAGTAAGACGAACTATGTTCCAATAACAGAGAATCTGCAAGAAGCCCTCAGCAGATGGTCACTCCGCCTCTGCTGAAACTCAGCCATCCAGATGGGCACCACAGTACATGGCTTACAGGTGGAAACACAAAGTTCAAGCCTGCACCAGTGCTTCCAGGTGTAGCACCCACTCCTGCCAAAGAAGAACTGAGACTGGAAATAGCAGTTGCTCATGTTAGAAGAAACTAGAAAGGATTCTGGACCAGGCCCAACAAAGGAAAAATGTTGGTATTATGGTTTAGATAGGAGGTATTCCCCCAAAAGCTCACATGTGAGACGATGCAAGAAAGTTTAGAGATGAACTCATTGGGTTATAAAAGGTTTAACCTAATAAGTGCATCAATCCCTTGATATGGATTTTAACTGGGTGGTAACTGAAGGCAGGTAGGGTGTGGCTGGAGGAAGTGGGTCATTGGGAGCATGTCTTTGGGGCTTGTATTTTGTCCTTGTTGAGTCTCCTTCCCTCCACTCCCTCTCTTCCTTTCTCTCTCTGCCTCTTGGTGGTCATGTACTAACCTGCTTTCCTTCACCACACTCTTCCAACATAGTGCTTGCCTCCTCTTGAGCTCTGAGGAAGGGAGATGGCCTATATACCTTTGAAACCATGAGCCCCCAAATAAACTTTTCCTCCTCTAATTGTTCTTGTCAGGTCTTTTGGTCACAGCAGCAAAAAAAGCTGACTCACATTGTAGGCAAGCAGTCGAGTGTGGTAACTGAGAGCATGACATGGGCATCAGGCTGTCTGGGTTCAAGTCCCAGCTCTGCCACTTATTAGCTATATGACCTTGGACACGTTTTCTAACCTCTTTCTTCCATAATTGTTTCATCTGTAAAATAAGGATGCTCTCTGAGGACTAAATGATACAAAAATGCAAGTAAAGTACTTAATATAGAACCTCAACTTGCCACGTTAAACCTTATATCATTGCTATCAATAGCCATTAACTATAATCACTTGAAAAGATAGCAGATCAGAGCCCCAGAAAGTTAAGAAAGGAATGTTTTAGCAAATTCTTTATTTACAGTGACTCATTTTAAGCCATTAGGGATAAGAATGATTATTATACCCATTTTATGAATAAGGATAAGGCTTTGTGAGGTTAAATGATTTGACTAATTTCCTGTATCTAGCAGTAGGTAGTAGAGCCAAGATCAAATCAGTCTTGCGTGGCACTAAGACTGTGTTCTTTCTACCACATATTATTGAAAACCAGAGCAAGATGAAATATGTAGAGGGCCAACCCATCGAAAGATATTCCTGTTTCACTGATTCATAATGGGATTGTGGGGGAGGAACTCTAGATAGAGCAACCAGGAGGGAGGGGAAGGGAGAAGGCATGGGGGTAGAAAAGACAGCGGAATGAGATGGACTTCATTACCCTAAGTACATGTATGAAGACACGAATGGTGTAACTCTACTTTGTGTACAACCAGAGATAGGAAAATTTGTGCTCTGTAGGTGTAATATAAAATTGTAATGCATTCTGCTGCCATATATAACAAATTACAATAAAAAGAAAAAGAAAAAAAAGATATTACTATTTCGCTTAAAAATAAAATCAATAGGGCTGGGAATGTAGCTCAGTGGTAGAGTAATAACCTAGCCTACATGAGTTCTCGGTTCAGTCCCCAAAACTACAATCAATCAATCAAAAAAATAATAATTAAAAGCCATAAAGTAAATGTAAGGAAGGCTAAATAGTTTCCAAATAATTTGTGTTATGCACACACTGGCTTAGGAGAAAGTGCACTGTGGCTTCCTGCCTTAACCTCCCCAGCTTCAAAGGAGGCCTGCCCTGGTGTGATGAGGAAATTGTACAGTTCCTAGAAGTTGTTATATAAATGTATTAATAATAGCAAACTTTTATGAATAGCATTAATGGTGTCAATATAAATAACAATGGCAACCATTTATCATACACGTGTCAGGTGCTTTATAGGCACTCTCATTTAGTTCTCCCAATAACCTTATCTACTTTACCAGTAAGGAAACTGGCTCTAGAAAGTTACATCCAAAAGGACTCATAGTTGTCAGACCAGAGATTGGTACATCACTGACTCTCAAACTTTTCCACTCCACAAAGCTGCTCAGAGTCACCGGTGAGTGAATGATAGCACAGAGACTAGGCTAAATGTGGCCAGGAGCCTTTCCACTATTATCTCCTTCCTTCTCCAGGGTGATCCACAATGACTGTCCTCTAATCAGGGAGCTCCTCAACCTCCCTTCCAAACAATTCACCTTGAATGCATTTTACGTTTTATGGGGTCCGTCCTCAGTGCGGAGATTATCATTGGTGTGAAGTAGCAGGCAAAAGTGTGAGTTCTGGAAGCAAACAACCCAAACCTGAAACACAGCCTACTTTCTAGCTGCATGTGACTTTGCATAGGTTTATTATCTGGATATATTAATAACATTTACCTCCTATTTTTATGAATACTAAATAATAATAAATCAAATAATACATGTAAGTTATTCAGTACACAAAGGAAGATGCACAAAGGAAGGGTTCAAAGGATATTATCATTATCATCGACTTAATGTTATTTGCTTAATTTAATGTGTTTTATATTAAACCAGTTAACATTTTATGGAATTCATTTAAAGTGTGAAAGTATGATGATCACTGATAAAGGTTATGGCCCTTTTAATACAGGCAACTGGAAAAAATCCAACTAAGTAGTATTAAACTAATAATGGCTCATATTATCCAAAATAATCAGCTTTCACCTTGTGAAATTGGTGGTAGTAGAATTTTAATATTGTTGGTGATGCACTACCAGACACACTATAATTTCTATATATTCATTACTCTACCACATCCATCCATCCATTCATTCAAAAAAAAAAAAACAAACCCTTAAGGATTCAACTCTGCATTCAAGCAACTGAGCTCAGTATTTGAGGTTGTTATCAGTACTTGAGCATGATATACCTATGCAGCAGGAAAAGGTATAAGTAACATAGGTATTGACTGATTCAAGAAAGCCATTATACTGTGAAAATTCTTGCTAGGATAGTCATAGCTACTAACAACAAAGATAAACAACTCTATGAGGGTTCTGATGCCAAACTAGTTAGCCCTAGGCTCCTGAAGGTTTAGTCACCAAGGTAAGGAATAAAGGACAAACGTTAGGGTTTTAATTCAAGTTGATGAATAAGATCAGGGATAGGGTAAATTATATTTGGGAAGAGTAAAACTTTAGCAAGGGAGGTGCCAAAATGTATCTTAGCATTAATATGTTTAAAAGTTGCTCTCAAATATTTGCTTTATGAGTCAACATTTTATTTCCTTATAAAGAACATATATCTTTATGTGTATATATATACATGTTTATACAAATTTGTTTATATGTAATATAGGTATCATACATACATATAAAACTCCACACATTGTAACTGAAGAATTACTACTTTATCCCACGTAACTACTATCAACACCAAGAAACAGAATTTTGCTACCCTATTAGCAGTTCCCTCTTGGCCCCGCATGCCCTACTCATTCACTCTTCCCCAGAAGTAATGACCATTATGCTACCTTTTAAAAGCAGAGATTCGTTTGCTTGTTTTTGAATTTTCCATGCATGGAATCATGCAGAGTTAGTCTTTTTGTGCTCTCTGTCACTCAACATTATGTTTCTTATATGAGAATGTACTCAGTCTCTCTAGTCACCAGGCAAGATTCCACAATACACAGTGTTGGTGAGGACATGAGCTCAGGATGTCTCATAAGCTTCTGGCTAAAAGTAAATTGGTAAATCACTTTGGAAAACTGAATGGCAGTATCTACTAAACGCTATTTACTGGCTTTTTGAACGTGCCTTTTTATGAAGTGCTTGTTTTAATATATTAGAAAAAATTAAGACAGCCAAAATAAAATAAGGAGAATATTAATAAAGATAAAAAGTCAAGATTAGTAAATCAGGAAAACAAATTTAAAAAATTATGAATAAACACAAAACTAGTTATTTACCACTATAAGCTAATTATACCTGTAATCTCAACAACTTAGTTTAAGGAGGGGCTGGGAAAGAGACCAAGATTAGGAATTAGGAATAGATAAAAAGATAAAATAACATAAATTAAAGAAAAATGAATTGTTAAGGATTACAGACAGTCTGACTTAGGATTGTTCAACTTTTGATTTTTAGACTTTATTCAAATAAACATTCAGTAGAAATTGTACTCCAAATTTTGAGTTTTTCCTCTTTTCCTTAGCTGCTGATAAATAGTATGCTATTCCGTCATGATGCTGGGCACCAGCAATGAGAACAGCTTCCAGTTGGCCACATGAGGGCCACAGCTGGTAGTCTACAGTGTGCTATGTTGCTAAGCTAGACCGTTTAATAGGTTAGGTGTATTAAATGCTTTTTCCAACTTATAATACTTTCAACTTATAAAAAGTCTCTTGAGCTGTAACCCCATCATAAGTTAGGGAACATCTCTAGTAGAATGAAACAGATTAGCAGGTTTGGAAATGGATCTATGCACATATGGATACTTGGTTTATGACACTATTGGCACTGAAGAGAAGTCAGGAAAGGACCATTTTCAATAAATGGTGCTGAATCTCACTAGATAGACAGAAAGAGAAATTGAATCTTGTACCATAAAATTAATTCTAAATGGTCCCTAGTTATAAATGTAAAAGGCAAAACAGCAAATCTTTCACAATTTAACCCAGAAGAAAATTTTCATGACCCTGGGATAAGCAAAAAATATCTTAAACAGATGACCAAAATCTCTTAAGTTTGATAAAGGAAAAGACTAATAAATTAAATTGAGTTAAAATTGATAACTTTTTTTTCTGTTGAAAGATTATTCAGACAGTGAGAGAACAAGTCAGATTAGAAAAGATTTGGTAATACATGTAGTCAATTTGCAATCAGAATATGTAAAGAATTTCTACAAATCAACAAAGAGTGGCATTCAATTAAAGTGAAAAAAAGACAAAATAAAATTTTTTGATGATAAAGACATTGGAGAAGGGTCCTAATATCTTTTCTGGGAAAACACACATACAGCAAGTTTTCTTAGTTTAGGCCTTTTGACCACTATTTAGAGGCCACACATCTTTGAAGGAGAGTAACAGAGGGGAAATGCACTGGAACTATATAAACTAGTTGTGAAGGGACAGCTTTGGTCACAAAGTTACAATAAATGTGTTGGTTAAGGTCAAGTGGTTTATGGGAAATAGAGCAAATAAGTTGCCTCAGAGAAGACAGCTGCTGACCTAATCCACTCAGAGTTTCAGTGAGATGGCCTGCACAGAGGAGGACAGAGGAATCTTCCTTTAACTGCTTTGGGGAACTAACCATCCATGCCACCGTGACATCTACTTCCTGCATGGTACAGTACTTGTGACCAGTTTTCTTTTTATCTAAGACTCCTGTATACAAAGACTTGGTATTCTATAACACTGCAGCCAAAGCTGCATTGCAAGGAAATCATCTACCCAGGTCCACCACTGACAGACTGGCTCAGATGCAGCACTTTTCCCATGATCCCAGAATGACATCTTCAGCACTGAGTGGTAGGAGGACTGCTGATAACCTTATTGTTTGATTCTCTCATCTAAACACTGACTGGGTATTATTTCTGCATTCTAACAATGAGGAAACTAAGGCACGAGGAGTTAAGTAAGGTGAAGAGAACCACAATAAGAGAAGTACAAGTGCTCTGCTCCCAAGTTTCTGTGTCTAAGCCCTGTGTTCTTTCCACACTATCACACTGAGCAGTTAGTTTAATAGTGAGGGTGAATGGATCGTAGTAATGCAAGAAATCACGTACCTGAAATACCAAAGCCAATGATGAGTGCAATTGCTCCAGCCAGAATAATGATGATGCTAATAATGCTGTGGAAAGAAAGAGAAGCAGGAAATTACTTCTTCATTCCATTTGACAAGCTGCTTCGTGATCTGATACACATCTGTCATGTGCAAGAATATGCTACATAAGGTATCCCAAGGTTTTAGTCCTCGTAAGCCCCTTCCCAGAGATAGGTACCTTAGAAAGGAATCTTAGCAATTCCATCCCCATGCCCCTGGCTCCATGGGATAACTTAAAGAAGTTCTCTTTGTATTTGACAGGGTCATCTTACTTACCTATTTCAGACTTCTAAGACTGTTGGAGTAAGACTGACAGTAACCTCCCTGTGATGTCTAGTGCCACCTGGTAGAAGTTGGTCTCATACTGTTTGCATATAGTCAATTTGCAATCAGAATATGTAAAGAATTTAAATAATAAGCCAGTAATCCTGCCTTAGCCTCACTGTCCACTTCTTCCTGTCTTTTGTGTGTCTTGTTTCTTTCTGTAGACTTTAAACTCTACTAAGGACAAGTCTTCTCCACTTTGAACCCACTCACATCTAGTTCACTGCACCCTTTAGGTCCTCAGTGGTATTTGCTCTCTCTTGTTAAAAAAAAAAGTAATACATATTTACAACAGAAAGCTTAGAAAGCTTTAAATAATCAAAAATAGGACAATGAAATCACCCGAAATTCCATCATCCAGACACAACCAACCACTGTTAACTTTTTGATATATACCTGGAAGTTTTTTATTTACAGGTTAGCAAATGACACTTGGGAAATAAAATAAACCAGTGAGGAAGTACTGCTTACATCCACAGTGTGCTAGAATCACATGGTAGATGTGTCTTTCCAGGCACCATTTTTAGCTTCTATCATTTATCCATTCAATAACCTTACGAGGTAAACAAATTTATCATCTCCATTTTATAGATGAGGAAGTGACATGGGGAGATTAAGCATCTTCCCTAAAGCCACACACTTAACAACTGCAGAGCTCAGATTAGAGTGTCTCCCAAATCTGCACTCAGCTACTTCCTACACAGTTCCTGAAAGGTGGAGCTCACAGATGAGGGGTGCCCCTCCTATTCTGCCTAAGGGAACCCATGTTCCAGAAGGGTCCAGCTTTAGCTGGTGAGAGTGACTCAGGCGGAGCAGAAGGTCAAAGTGGGTGTGTTGGCAAAGCCATTTCTGAGAAGTCCGCCCATTGCTGCCTACCCTGATGTGTGCTTCCTCAAGCGTCTGTCCCCAGTCACACTGCTGGCCATTCACATACTCCCCACACCCACACTGGGCTTACTCAATAGGCAGGACAAAAGAAAGACACAGGGTAGCAAAGAATGATGCCATAGAGAAAGGAAGCACGGGGCATTTTACTTTCTTCCCTGAATAAGTTCATTGTACCCAGCTCCCCTTGGCTCCAGAGTGGGCCCACCAGGAAGAAACCAGAGACTTACAAGAAACAACTTGAGTAAACAGTTTCCCTGGAGGCCAAGCCCTCATGAGGTGCACCCATACGGGCAGCAAGTAGAGCTCTTACTAATAGGACAGCTGCTAAATTGCTTCCAAAAGGAGACCACATGGGACCACTTCCCTTCCCTCTGCCTCAGTGCAGCCTCAGTCTCACACGGCTCCAGGTGTGAGAACAGCTGGACAAACTCATAGCAAGAGGCAATATGTACGGTTCTCCCTAACACCTGAGCCGACAGCAGCTTTGCATTTGTGACACAGGGTTTTCACTTACTTTGGTGAATTACTTCATTTCCCTGGGACTGTTTCATGTGTAAAATGAAGATGGAAGAAATTCCTGCTTTACGTCCTATAAAAGTGTTATGGTTTACATGGATCCCCTCCAAATTCATATGTTGAAGTCCTAACCTCTAGAGCCACAGAATATGACTACAGTTTTATATACATATATATA